CACAGTGAGGTAAGAACTGCTGAGAAGTTTATTCCCAAGAGTTTCTCCTAAACTCTGACATTGTTTTAGGTGGCTTGGGGAGCTTACGCCACACTGCCTCCCGGTTGGTTCCTTGTCAAGAATCTCAAGCAGTGTGATAAGACCAACTTTGCTGTTTCGATGAGTTGGGAACCCGTTGAACTGGACATGGCCACTGATTATCAGGTAGGGAATCAAAGTAGTTTTCCTCATGCCTGGCGCTCGTAGCCTTAGGGCGAATGTTTAGGTTCGTTATCTCCGCATGAAGGACAGCGAAGCTGGATGGATTGAAGAAGATGCCAGGGAGAGCAAGGAGCTACTTTGCCCGAAGGTGAGTCCCTTCCCCGTCCGGAATCACATTGAGGTGAGATCTGCTGAGGATTTTACTTCCAAGGGTTTCTCCTAAACTCTGACATTGTTTTAGGTGGCTTGGGGAGCTTACGCCACACTGCCTCCCGGTTGGTTCCTTGTCAAGAATCTCAAGCAGTGCGATAAGACCAACTTTGCTGTTCTCGATGAGTTGGGAACCCGTTGAACTGGACATGGCCACTGATTATCAGGTAGGAAATCAAAGTAGTTTTCCTCATGCCTGACGCTCGAAGCCTTAGGGCGAATGTTTAGGTCCGTTATCTCCGCATGAAGGACAGCGAAGCTGGATGGATTGAAGAAGATGCCAGGGAGAGCAAGGAGCTACTTTGCCCGAAGGTGAGTCCCTTACCCGTCCGGAATCACCCCAGAGCACTGATTGAATCGTGTTTCAGGATGGATGTGGTCGTCTGTGCTATCTGGTCTTCAACTTGCCTCATAATCCTAGCGATTATATTTTCCAGGTTTGTCGTTCCAGAAACTTGATCATCAGCTTGAGGGTCCCCAATAAGTCCGGAAACTATTGCATCTTATATTCTCAGGCTAATGGCCTATGAGGCCGGTTAGGCTTTCATTGGAACGTATGCATTTGTCCAATTGCGGGTGTGATCGACAGGCTGGGCAGGCCTTTGAGGCATACTACAATGAGTTTTACGTTGGTGGTTCCCTTTGCAATACTCATAGCGGAATTCCCTGAGCTTTTGGTACCCTTTTATGCCAACCAGCCTCGGATGGTTGTCCCCAAGTTGTCCTGGGTATGCGCAAAATAAGCCCATCATTAGCTTTGTTGTATTATTTACTGATTACAAATGGATGGTTTGCACTTAAAGGCACCGTACACGAAAATCTTGGGATTCTTTCGCATACAAAAATCGGTACCATAGGTCCCATGTTTTACGAGGGAATAGCAAAATGAACTCAAAGCTACCGTTTCTTTCAATTAAAAAATCTAAAAACTAATGGTAGGTAGATTATAACTAACTTAATTCCCACCGTAAAACTGTCACAACTGTCGGTGGTGGAGAGTTGGCAGGTGCACACATGTTGAACGCGTAAACGTGAACAAATTTTACGTGGATCCTCCCAAAACCTGACACGTTGCACACCTACTGCACACATCGTGTCATGTGCCTCTTTGGCTCCCACTTACCAGCGGCTGTCTCCCGAGGAGAGAGTCCTCGGCAGTACATGGTATTCTATTCGTCAGAACAGCTTCTCGTAGACGATGCCTTCAAAGTGACTAGAGCGACCGCGTAATGCTACTTATAAAGTCAAAGTTGTGGTCAAACGAGAGACCGTAAAGCAATAAGGGGATGGTAAAATAACGGTCGAGGGTAGGAGCAGGGGTATAGGTGTTACCTGAAGTATAAGCCCACTTGAGGTCCAATAATTATTACTGAGACAAGAAAAATGGAAGAAAAAAATGGAACTCAATAACTTAGTCACGCAAAAATTGCTCTTGCCTTTGTGGGATCGGCCTTGCCCAACACTAACCCTCCATTCACCACACCCTTGACCCTTTGTGCCCTAACTTGGCACGGGTCAACTGTTCACCAACTGGGAAAATATGACAGGAAGAAAAACAAAATTCAAATTTATGAGCAATAAAATGGATGCTATACAAGTAGGGTGGGAAAGCCGTATTCTTTTGATATAGAATGGATCGTTAAGTGGAGGCTGCTACCCGCTCTATACTGCACGAGAATCGGCCAGAGATTTTTTGAACCAGGGGAGGTAGCCATCTAGCGGGCTGGGAAAAGGCGAGTCATTGGCATGCATTAACGTGGGGGTGACACCACTTGTATGGAGCTCAAAATTGTTTGTTGCTTCGTTTTTGCTATGATTGGGTATGACAATCGAGTGCACGGCGCATCCTCTTTTGTTGTTCGATGCAGTGACGTCAACACGTGCGGTTTCAGTTAGCCCAGGACAATTGATATTCTTTAGGGTTTAATGCAAGTAGGTTAATCAAACAACAAATTTATGCTTCCCTCAGAGATTCACGTAAAACTCCCGAACTATGAAGGGCCTTGAGAAAGAAAACAATGGCCAATTTGCAGGTTCGGGCCAAGGTCGACGGCGAATGGAATCATTGGAGATCAGCGCCGAGAAAAGTGATCACTGGTGAAACGGCCGAGGTAAGCCCCGGAAAGTCCCCGTCGGCGATTTCCCCCTTCATGAATGTGCACGATTCAGATTCGTCGAAGCTGTTGCATCGTGCCACCACCGTACATGGTCGAGAATATCGGAAGTCCCGGTTCGTGGTGGGAGGTGGACGTGAGTCCCGCAGCCACCGAAGAACGGCGTTACGTGAGTTCCTTCACCTCTTCGTCGCCTAAGTCAATTTCAGTGCACTCCGCTGCGGCCCTCTTCACAGGTTACGTAACTTAGGTAACCAGGTAATCGTGGCCAGTTATTGGGCGTGGTGTATGGGTGTGTGTGTATGGATAAGAGAGAAAACCAGTTTATAGCGCCGTTTTCGTCCTCTCACTTGAACGAACACCTTGATTTACTTGGAAAAAAACGATCGCGACCAAACTCCCATAAGATTATGGATTGGATTGCGGGAAATAAGTGTGGGAAATGCTGCTTAGGATCTCTTCGCATAGCTCCGACTTCTTTATCCGGACATTTTCAGTCGATACTATGTCGTGGTGGATGAGCGCGACCCACCTGGAGAGTCCAACTGGACTGAGCTGACTGATAAGGTACTGATTACCCGGAGATCTTTGCTCTAGCTGGGAGCTGAAAAAGGTGGTTTTTCAGGTGACAGCTAACAAGCTCAAGATCCCTTACTACGTGGCCGCGTCGTACGATATCAACACGCTGACCGAACCGAAGAAGGTGAAATTGCGCTATGATTTGTCCCCCGTGCGATCTCACAAAACTGTTTCTTGCAGGTGCGAATCGGCGACGGAACGGTAATCGGTGGCTACCTGAACTATCCGCTCGTGAAAGGCAAAAAATACAACTACGAGGTGTACACCGTGTGGAACGTGACCGGAGTGCCGGTCGTAGGACGAAGTCGAGGTGAGCATGATGATGATGTTGGTTTCCCGCGGGGAAGGTGTTTGGGGTGGCGGATGGCGGGCGGGTTGTTATCATCACGCCGTGTGTCTCACGCCCCCCACGTGAACCACCCACCTCCCACCGAACCGCACAGAGAGAAGGGGACAATGATAAGGGGTTTGGGAGGCAGTGAGCTCGGGGCGTGGTAGTCGGCGGAGACGCAGACGGCGACCACTACCATCGCTGCCACTCTGACACAGTCGAATGTCCTGGTTGCCTGACGGTGAGTTCCGTTACGCGTTCATACGTTACGCGCGTCTAATCGTGCTCCTCTCCGCGCAGACGTACGCAGTTGGTGGTCCCGAGTGCCATGGTGGTGGTTACTGCCAGCACTACTCGCCATAGCACTTCTACTGCCATGTCTTATTTGGATATGTTGTTTTTCTCAGTGAGTTCGCGCATGCATCTCGTGTGCATTCTGATGCATGACGACAACAAAAGGCATGAAGTGTGTGTGTGGCTGGCTACGTAACCAAGAATGTCAACTTTCAGCCTCTCCATACCTGGCAGCCGGCTGGCCATGGTGGTGGCTACTCCTGCTGCTGCTTCTACTGTTGCTGCTTATCCTACTCTGCTGTTGCCTTCTATGGTGCCTTCAGGGGTGCGATCTAACTCTTTCCGTTAACTATTACTTTACCCCATTACTACCGTATTCTATTCCTTGACTAGAGTTCATAACAGAAAGAATGATTTCCCCAGAAGCATGATCCCGAACCCCCTTGGAAGATCTCCTAATCCTTTGCTAATCTGCTATTTTAGACGATACCGTACCCGAAAGGAGCACCGAAGAATGGTCACGAATGGTCAGCACGTTCCGCTCCTCGAAGAGGTAAGTTAGGCCAGTTAGGCCACAGCGGTCTTGGACGCTATACGTTCTTGATGGGGCCTTTTTCAGGACAAGACTGGTATGGAGGCAGAATCTGCGAACACTTGAATCACGCCTCGACAAGATGGCGTGGTGCCGTGGATGGCCGATGTGAGTAGGCATTCAACTGCGCCCGGGGGCCACGGGGTCTGGCGCGGGCGAACGTGCGCAGCGCCTGTAAATTCATCACTCTGAAAAGTTCTTTGACCATGGGCGTGGCGCGGTCATCCGTTGCAATATAGAAAATCCTGCATATTCTGCTAGCGCGAAAGCGGCGCATAAACGGAATTTGAGCTGGCGCGCACCCGTCCCGCCCCGACCGCCAAAATCTCACACTCCCGATCACGAAGGCAATCGATTAGGTAAATGGCTTCCAATCTTGAAAAATTTCTAGTTTCTCATACTGAGCGAAAGATTTCGTTAAGGGGTTGTAGACCTGAAAATGGCTCCTTCTAGGGCCCAACTTTTCCCAGAACGAATACCCTTATGGAAGAAGTGCTGAAATATATCAATTTTTGTCATTCTGAAAGTTCTCTTTCAAATCCTCTATCATACGTCAAGCAATAATTAATGAACGGCGCATGCACTGCCGTCCTGATCGCGATGCCGCTGCTTTTGCCTGAAGGGGAAAAAAGGTCAGCGCGCCTTATGAATGATTTCAACGCAGCGCTACCAGTTTGGGTTCGACTTCACTTCCTTATCAGCTGCATCCTGTGAACAACAGCCTCAAAGCTGTGACTTCTTTGTGACCCGAATTGGCTGCAAAAGAGTGCTACAGCGCTAAATGAGCTCTACTGGGAGAGATAGAGGGAGATGAGATACCACCCAGGAATCGTTAGCGGTCATTGGGAGGGTGTTGGAAATGGTGTGGTGCCGTCGGGCACTCGGGCGTGCGCACCGTCCAGAGGCTAAATTCCGGCTCGAATCCTACCCAGGCCAATTGGACCGTCCATTCATGTGGGGTCATTTAATTGGTACTAGACTTGTTTGGGATAATAGAACCCTGAACTGTACATTTGCTGGTCAAAGCTATAGACGTTTGACCATGTCATGGCTTATTCCAAATTGGTAGAACTTCTGTGGGCGGCATCCGAGAATGTATTGATCAGCGCTGAGTATTTTAATGTGCTATCTTTGTGTTTACGAACACTTTGGCAGGGATCCAATTACAGCGTTTTCCAAGGCGTGGCATATTTACATAAATTGATTTTTCTGCACCTCAAACCAGTTTCTGGGACCTCGTCTGATAAATGGTAGAGCGAACGCAATGGCTGATTGCGCCTTAATGGACATCTGCGATTCAGATCATACCCTGATTTATCAAGCTATTCACACTCCTGTGCTCGTTCAGCAGGCCGTTAGCGATTTATGCGAAAGTATCAAAGCACTGACTTGAAAACTTCACTAGGGCCTATGTTTAATGAGTTTAACAGAAAAATTATACAGCGGCGTTTCTTTGGTAATACGTCCGAATAACGAGGTGGCCTGTGATTAATTTGAATTCCCATACTTAAAGGCACCGTGCACGGGAAACCAGTTCCTTCGTTCCATGTATGATTGTGTTGTGTCCGACCATAGAAGACCATGTGCAAAGGTCGAAGCAGAAAGAATGTAATTTTGAAGAGAAACAACTTTTGCGAAACCCATTTCATGGACAACTGCTCCTTGAGAGGGGCGTGGCCAGGCTTATGCGAAGAAGTACGTGATAGTTGTGGCACTGTATGGCTTGGAAGGTTCTGAACCAGTCACGTATACACGTTCAACACGTTTGCACGTGTTTTGGTTTCCCTTCGCGAACAGTTGTGATGGCAGTTTTACGGCAGCAATTCAAATTAATCATAGGCCACCTCGCTATTCCGATTTATCACCAAATTCAATGCCGATGTTTCGTTCGTTTTTGCTAGTCTCATTAAACACGGGGCCTACGCTGACGAGTTTTTGATGCAATGGAGGCAAGCTTTTTCATCCTGCACAATGCCTTTAAGCCTTATCGGCCTATAAACACTGCCTAGGTCGAGCACAGATATCGATGTCTTTGCGATTCCACAATGGAGTTGATTGGGTGATGCGATTTGGATAAAAAAGAATGATTAATGGCGACTAGTTTTTCATCCCGCATCTGATCGATTAAAAGACCTAATCGATGTATTCACACCTAATGTGATGAATGCCCTTTTTGGCTGAATTAATTCCGTGTGACAGTGAACGTCCAATTACTGGGTAACGCTCTAATTTGAGCGTACTTTCTCTGAGACCACCCTCACAGCTGATTTTTGACAAGATTTTCACGCTGCATTTTCAAAAATCTTCATGAGGTTCCAAAAAATACTCAAAGAATTCCAAAGTTATTTTGCACATATCAATACTTTTGTATCTCGCACTTTAGGGCCTGAAGTACTTCTGAGTGATTAGTTAATTAGTATTTGAATATTTTGGCTGGTTCCCTCTGCACCTAACTACAACCGGTAGTCCCTTCTACACGCGAGCATGGTTCGAAGCAGAGTCGGTCCTACCGCTGCGACTTTTCGGAAATTTTTTTACGACCCCCCCCTTAACAAAAATTTCACCCCCCCCCTCCTTCACCTATCCTCGCCATCATGGTCACTGTTTCTATAGTATTTAATTCTGAGACCAGTCGACACACTACTCCAACACACTATTCCCTCCAAAACGGCCGTCGCAGCCGGAGGATGGGGGGGGGGGATACATTGGGGGTATGAGGTACATGGTGACGGCCAAATTTTAATTTCCGCTTCTTCCCACTACGCACGCCTAACTCAACCCATTGAATTCTAAGCTTACATCGCCATACGACCGCCCCCATTGGTCCTTGTCGCAACAAAGGAATTGACCCCTGATCCGATAAGCCCTCGGTCGGGGGGGGGGGGGGGGGGTGGCAATCTACCCCACCCGCGTACGTAAATAGTCTTGGACTATCGCGTCACCACACAATTTTGGTCCATTTAAAGTAGCTTTTAACTTGATGTAATCAGATGATGAGTTGTAAAGTGTCACTGGTTCCTCTTTAGTATTTATTTCGGGGAGAGTCTTACTATTCAGGAGCTTCCGATATTTTTCCAGGAAATTTCTTTTGAGCAATGTAATGCTCTGAAAATTTGGGGGCATGTGAAGCTCTTGGAGTTGCTTGAAATTTTGTAGGCCCTCAATAAGCTAGAAAACTTAGGTACCACTGATTTTCATCATCTTTGACGTTCATGCTACTATACCGAAAGGCTTCATTAAAAGTCATTTGCCTTCCTCACGTCTTATCCGAAAAATAGGCTTATGGAGTGTACAATCTTAGAGGCATTGTCGCTCAGACCTTTAGACACTTCTCTCGAACGTGAGGTAGGAGGCTCACTAAGCACAGGAGTCCCCAGCACTGTCCAGACTTGGCAGTACGTGGCGCGGCAATGCCTTTGAACCCTTGTTTAGACCCTGTGCAATCGCGCCGCACTCATTCATAGTGTGTGTGGTGTCTGCGTTCTCTCGCAAAACGTGCTTCCCTCGCAAATCCCTCCTCTCCACACTGTGTCTTTTCATTGCACCACGGTCGACCTCACAAAAAAGGTCCTTATTTTTCGTGTTTTCCTTGGTTCTATTTGCTTTTACTTTTTGACGGTTATCTTCGCATATCTGACTTCTTTTGAGCGGAGTAGGTCAAAAATTTTGATCACCGTGTCCTACTTGGACGGATTTTCAACTTCGTGACCTTAAAAGTTATTATCCAGTAAATACATTTGTGGAGCGCTCGGGAGGAAACTGAAACAACCAGCCACCTTTGTTTCAAGCTCATTAAGGAATTAGGAAAAATTTTTGGCCTGCTCGTCCTATTGCTCTTTTCTTTTCCCCGTTCTGGGCCGTTCCATTCATTATACTTCTGTTCGTAGTCGTGTATGAAGATGAATGCGACCTGACCCATGTCCATGGTTTGCAGCTCTGCCTGATGCCGCCAGTCCCAGGTCTTATCTCTCGACGTTGGAATAACTTAATCAATCCTGAATGTAAAACCTTGTTCACCCGAGGAAACCGATTAAGGCATTGTAACCTCTGGACTGGGCTTTGAACGTGTAAACCTTAAGGTGAAGTTATTACGTTGAGATCTATCCGCTCTACCCCCATTTTTGCCCTTTGCGTTTCGAGAGTGTTGTTTAAGAGCATTTGAGAGCATATTTCTGTCCTTCTGTTGGAAATTTGGCCAGCGATGTGAGTAAGCCATGCCCTCGGGTTTCATTCGAGGCCTGCTGAGTCATTTGAAAAGGTTTCGATATCTACAGTGGTTCGGGGGTAACATTGCTTTTTTAATGAGCAAATATGTTCTCAGAGTGACTTACCTTAACAGCACAACTGCATTCAAAGAAGCAAACCAAGGTGGGAATAGATCCTGGAAGTGGCACAATTGCAAAGCGAGGGAGCATTTGCCTCTACCCTGCGCGCTAGCAGAACTTCTGCTTTTGCCCCGGACTGAATTATTGTTTCAATCGGATTCAAAGCCTGCTTGTTTTAGCTCGTGGCGATTTCGAAGATGGTTACATGAAAGGCTACAAGGATGCCAACAAACTCGGTTCAGCCAGTGCGGCCAGACGACGAATGGACGACGATTACGGTACCAAGGACGATCGATTCCATGAGGGCTATGTGAAAGGCCTCAAGTAAGTTCTCAGATACGGCTTTCTTCCTAGGAGAAACTCAAGGATCAAGTTCAGGGATGCTGGAATGACCGGCATGTCGACCTCAATGCACAACTTGGCGCAGCGAGGTCCAGGTGGCGGCTATTCGACTGGCTTCATGCAGGGTTACAAGGTACGTCTTTATATATCTCGGGCTAATGTATTCGTCCTTGTGATCTAATCCAGTGCCAGACACAGTGAACTAGAGCCCTAATCACGTCCCGGTACGAATTCACACGTTCTAGTACTAGTTAGTGGCTGAATGGTAAACAACCACTGCTCATTGGTGTCTTAGTTTGTGCGCCTGACCTGATCGAAAGTGACCCTGGTGATGGATAGGTTCTAAATTCAGTCGCGCTAAAGCGATCTATGTCTATGATCGCGGTTGCCCTGGGCAGCCGGACTCCAGAGGATCTGACCGCTGAATTTTTTTTGGCCGTGTTTCCGACCCAATTCCGGAAAATATGGGTAGTTACTGTGGCAGCTACTGGTTCTGATAGTGATCTTTGGACTTTTCGGCTCAATTATTACGAATTAAGCATAAAAACTCAGAAAAAAGGAAATTTGATGGACTGTATGGCACTTAGGTTGATTTTGTGACGTTCCTGAAATATCCAGGCTCAAATTCGAAGCATATAGTCCGGAAATGAAGAGCAGTGGAAAAGCCTAGAGAATACAAGGATGAAGCATTTTCCGTTGACCAGTCCTTTTTTGGGATACGCCATACATTCGACTTCCATCCAGTTTTTTTAAAAGCAATTTGGCTTGATAAGAATTTGCGGGACCAGATGACGTTTAACCCTTTCGGCCCTGGCGGTGGCAATTGCCACCACCAAATTCAAACGCTTGCATTTCCGCTGAAACAGCATGGTTTTTCTAATCCTGCTAGAGGTTGCTTCAGTCAACCTTCCCCTTCCTAATTATGAGCTTAACCGGCCATTTCATTGTTTATTGCTGTTAGTATTGCAAGTATTTGTGTACAAGTGCAACAGTGAATGGGCGCTGACCCCCGCAACCGGCCAAGTAAGTGTGACTTTTCTTAAAATACTTGAAGTGGATCCATTCCTAAATCAAAATTATGGGTTATAATATTATGCAAGATTATAAACTTTTTCGGCATAACTATGAAATTTCGAATTGTTTCGACATAAGCTTAAAAACTAAGAAGGTGGGCCAATTTTCAAAGCTTCTCAGTTTCTTTGTTTGTGATCGAATAGCTTCCAAATTTCGCCATAATGATACCTATATGCTCACAAGTAATAAACAATAGCTAGAAGAAAAATTTCTCCACGGGGAAAAATTCAGGTCCGAAAGGGTTAAAGAATAACGCTATCCTCCTCGACAAGTCGATCCCGACGAAAATCCAGCTAAGAGTGAAAGAAGCTCTAACTTGGTCGGCGCACATCCCCTGACCATACGCGTGATAAGTGGCGCCACTTGCCACTACACCACTTCTCCATGCCTTTCCCCTGCTCAGCTCTGGGCCAAAACTTTCATCACTCAGATTTCCAACCAAGGTATATAATCGGCCCACAATTGGGAGATAAGTTCGCGTGCGCAGTCGACTTTCTCGGTTCAAGAAGACAGAGCCAATCATCCGCGTTCACCTTACTAAAAATTTTTGGCGACCCTCTCGCAAGAAAGGTCTTGTTCCCGTCGAAATATGACCCCTCTATTGAAAGGGAGCGGGGGGGGGTGAAAACCAATTATATCTAGTGAAACACATTGCTCCTAATTCCACCACTGCCACTCTTCTTTGAACCTATACCCCAATTTTCCGAAAGTCTCCGAACGATCCCTTTTCCCTCACTACACCGTCTTCAACTTCCAAAATTACGATCCACTCTTTCTCCACCTTTTGGCCTTCACCACCAACCGCTAATAGGACCATCTCCCCTCTCCCCTCTAAAAAACTCAAATACGACCCGTTCGTTGAGAATTGCACAACACATAGTTGACCCTGTCAGGCTACTCTGTTTCTTGTAATCATACAATAACGGTAGACCGCGTCAGTTTTTTCGGACCTCCCCCTCCCCAATCCATTTCTCATTCCTAATACGATTTGTAGAAAAAGTACAAATTTTGAGACAAAGAGCTTTCCAAAGAGCGTTTGACGCAAATGCTATGCTCGTGCGGAGGATTTATCGCGAAATAACGGGCTGAATTGGACATTCTTCGTATTTGATCCCTCAGATCTCGGAGCATTGCAATTACGCAAAAGGACATATTAATGGCAGTTTTTGTCGTCAGCTACAGTAACTCAAGGACCATTGAAGCCGCGACTGCTTCACTCTTTGTTGCGATTTTATTCAATTTGTGAATTTTCGGTCTGAACCTAACCTACTTATTTGTTGTCCCCTCAGCTGGCAGCTTTGCCAGTGCTGCTGCGTTTCATTTTAAGCGCTTTCGGCGTGCCCTTTTAGAAGGTTTAGGAATGGTTTATGACCGTGCTCGGGTATGAATCACTTTCAATCCCACTCACTTTCGAAGCCGTTGTACGCGTTTGAGCTGATCTTTACTTAAAGTCTATATTTAGTTACCCTCTCGCCCACTGGATCAGTACCGAGCAAACACTGGTGTCTAATCGCTCTAAATCCTTTATTCCTTCTGTCGTGCGCCGGATATTCACGGGCAGGATCAACCGTTATCCTGAGAAATTCCAGGGTCAAGCAATAACCATCTTTGGTCGCTTCTTCAGGTTTACGCCAGCTACAGTCCCTGCTTCCCATCACCAGAGTGTCCGTTGGCCTAGCAAAGAGAGTCGGAGTGTAGGAGAGGGAGGGAACGGTCATATACATAGGTACAGAAAACACGAAAGTCCAAATTTCGATTTCATTTCTCCACACTTCTCACAACGTTTTCCAAAATCACTCTCTTCCCATCTCCAAAAGATACAGCGCCCAAATACTACCCCCTTTCCCTACAAACTTTACAAACACGACCTTTTCTCCCGTTGGGTTCTGCCCGACGGGCAGTTGATCCCAAATTGAGGTGGTGATGGATGAGCCTGTGCTCGATTGCTGTGGTCATAAAGCTGGGAAACGGTACTGCGAAATTTCCTTGTTTCAGGATGGAAATTCTGGTATCTTTGGTGATCGTGTCACACCGTCGTTGATCTCTCGATTAGACGAACAGTACCCTGGACAAGACGACTTCAAACAGGGCTACGTAGACGGCTTCAAAGAAGGTGCTGGCAGCAGGACCGGTGAGAGACGGGTACGTTTCAGAAGCTCCCTTAAAATTAGAATTGCACGAAATCGATCAATAGGTGAAAATCGTGAAGGTAATTCTTCCACCCAAATGTATGCGTCAAGCGCAAGAATCAACCCGAGCCTGTGGTGAGGGCCGAAGTCAAACCGCCTCCGGTTTTCTGTTCCCGAACCAGCCTGAAATTTTTACATCAGAGGATTCTTAGGCAGAGTGTTGCATTTGATTTGGTCTAACCATAAGGAGGGTCGTGCCTGGGGAGAATGGGACAGATGGACAAATGAAAAATGAAATATCGGCGTAAATTTAAAATTAGCTGCCGTCGCAGTCACCTACATATACCACTCCTGCTATGCGCCCGGCGGCATTTTTAAAAGAATTTTGAGATTTGGGTTTGGAGGAAATCATAAGCCTAAACCAAGAACAAAGAAGAGGCTGTCGTACCAAAACCATCGTAGAAGGTTGGTAGCATTGTTGTGGTCTTCCTCGACGCGGACTTCACCTTGTTTTCAAAGTCCTACCGTGGTCGTGTCCCGAAAGGCTACAGCAAGCGCAAAGACGCAGACAAGAGCAAAAATTAACGCGGCTTGAGTATCGGGAAGTAATCTGTGCACATTTTGTCGCGTACGCGGTGCACAGCTGCTATACATGGCAAACATGCGAGGCATGTTAATTCTTCTTGAAGAAAAGCAAGAATTTCAGTACGAAATGCTGGGTTACGTGGAGAACTCTTCACCCCAGTTGGGGATGAGTTTGCACCTCTCATTTCCCAGGCAGTTGTGGTACCATTTACCACTGGGTCACCGCTTTACCTAAACCCAACTTTTGCTTTCATAACCCAGCACTATTGTGATAGCTTCCGTATGGGAAACTGTGAGCAGTAGCAGCAAGTAGACAGGGATTCCAAGATAGATCTAAGGTCAAAGGGGAAAGCTACCTAGTGGAAAGAGAGGCACACCCTCTAATCAGAAGGCTGTGGATTGACGCAATTTGAAGCGAAGAATAAGCCCCAGCTATCTAGCATGGTTGTTCCCGCTCCCCTTGCGCCGTTATCCGCCCACCGACTGGAGAACCACTCGCTGTAGGTCTCGGGCCATTTCGCAGGGAGAGCGTTAGCGTTGAAGAGGGCAACATCGAAGAGAGCGCATCAGTGCGGAAATCGACGAGCAAGGAAGGGGTCCTATTTCTGAGGCTCTTGGCCGTTCCTCATGGTTTTCTTCACTGGCTACCCCTACCTTCTAATGGACTGCCTTTTAATCATAAACTCCGCATTTAACAATCGAAAGAGCAACTTTTGCTCTTTCGATTGTCAATGCGTCTCCATCCTGACGTTCCGATGAAGTGTCCCTGTAAGACAAAGTAATGAAAGCGCGAATCATCTTGGCTGAACCATGATAATTGCATTAGTACGTTAGGGGTTCTCATCTCTGCACGATTGAACATCACCTAAAAGTAGTATCGCAGTTGTGTAATTAGTGGGTGATGTGGTGCTTCAAGGAGCTAATTATAGCAGAATGACTCATTCAATGCAACTTCCTGCCAACATACACTTCTAATCCGATTACTTGCTTTTAAGCTTAGTGCAATTGAAGGAATATAATCTGTTGCGAGGTTACGGTCATAAAGACCGAAAAGCAGTTCTTTGACAGACATTCGTGTCTGATGTTCGAAGCTCATTTCCTCTTTATAGACGTTCGAGGACTCTCGCCGTCTTCAACAATCGCTCACGGAGCTCACAGAACGCCTCACGTCTCTGGAGAAAACCAAAGGAGACGAGATCCATTCGACGAAGATCTACCACGTTTGTAAGTGTTAATGTGCTATCTAAGTGCTGAGATCACGATTGCTGGAGGGCGGAACGGTTTTGATGACGTCATTGAACGTCATTGGTGGAAGGACGTCAAGAGGCGGTCCCAACCACATCGCTAGCGCGCTAAGGGGTCTGGTCTACCAATGACGTTCAGTGACGTCATCAAAACTGTACCGCCCTCCAGACAGTGATCACTGCCTTTAAGTCTTTAGCCTAAATCCACTATCTTCTGAGCTATTGGTTTTCAGACAATCAACAACCAGACACAATCGCCTTTACCTCAAGTGCTCAACAACTGGCACATGAACTCGAAGAGATCAACAGCACTTCACGAAGAAGCACTCTCAGAAGACACTACACTGTAGGTGTACATTTATAGGGCCGCTTAGCGTTTTGGGAGAATAGTAAACATAAGATCAGAAGAATTCACGTGAAAATCAGATACGTATTGATTGGCAGAATTGGAGAATCGGAGAAAAGGGATTGACTGGCAGAATAAGAGATGAGGAAATCCAAAAACTCTTAATTTTCTAGTCCAACACGCAGTTTGTGTGAATTCTTCAGTTGTTCTCAATTCTCTTATTCCCTCCTTATCTTCATTTCTCTCATTTCCCCCCTTCTTCTTACGAAATCTTCTTTGAAGTTGATTGATTCTCTATGTCTATCTTTCCACTCATTTCCCCTGTCTCATACTCATCACGCATCTCCGCCTCGCATCATGGCCAACCGTCACGTTCTCGGGGTCAAACCCCTTGTCTAGAAAACCCCTTCTAACGACTTCAGTTGGCTCCAAAGATCGTTAACCTCGCTCAACCCTAAAGTGCGATCCCCCTTCCCGTAATCGCAACTGCGACCCCCTCGTTCGAATAGTGCGAACGAACGGTTGACCCTGCCTCGCATCCCACAAACCTCCTATCACCATATTCTCTCAATCAATATGTATCTTCCTCACTCTTGTCTACTCGCCTGTTCTCGTAAAACGCTGAGTACGGATCTTGAACGTTCTAGTGTGTCTAGAAAGATTGTTAGACTTTGGTGATTTTCAGCCAGGAGACTACCTGAAGCAAGCCTCTGAAGGTGAAGGCTACGGAACCCTCGGTAGAAATAGACGATCGCTGTCGGCATCTGCGCTTGCGCGAGGTCCGTCCGTTCAATATTTTGCAATTTTTATTGATCGTGTGGAATTTTTGCATGTTGCATGGTAACCGGTTTGTGGTAGTGTGTGCTTGTGTGACTAGGAATGAGCTTCAGACTCGTCGGCGATGGAGAGTCGCACAATGGAACAGCGGTCGCGTCATGCCTCCGGCACCGGCTCGTCCTATATCACACGTTCGGCGGCTGATCGTCAAGGAACTGACACCTACAGTAAACGCTACAATTACCGTAGTCGTTCAGATGTAGGCAGTCCACGACGTTACGCAAGTCAGACGTTGTTGGACGGCTCACGGCCTGGGCCAAGCACACCACATGCTCGTCGTGATGCCCTCAGTACTCTGCAGCGAGAGCTGGACACACTTAGTCGCTCTCCAGACCGATCAACCCCTCGGGGCTACACCTCAGACACGGGGAACGCCTATGACACCGTGCGTTCGAAGGCGCGCGGTTATTCAAACTATGACTACGGTGAATCCTAACGCTCTATAACTTCTTGTCAATAACTGCTTGTGCTTCTTCGTTTCGAATGCCGTGTTTCACTTTTCTAGACACATTCTCGTCATCTCGCCATCACGAGACCCGAAGTTCTGCTGTCGGTGCAGGTGGTGGTGGTGGTGGCGCGACGGGGATTACTGTGCCAACAACCAGATATCCTGCAAAAGGTACGTTTCCCTACTACTAATCAATTCATTGAGCGATTCTGCTGCGGGGTAGTTCGAGAACTGGCCTCTTTTTCCCCTGCAGACTGTCTGCGTAATAAAAGTTCAAACTTCTTTGTTCTCTGCTCGCTGCGTACCCTTTAATCAAAGCCTTTTCGTTTTGAATCCGCTCTTGGCAAACCTGACCGCATGTGCATGGCCATAAAATGTGATACGAATAGTTTAAGACCTCAGTTCCGTATGGATATGGGTTTGTGAACCCAGCTGGCGCTTTTCAGACCCAGCCGACGATGCTGGCAGATGGGCTGACGACCTCCTGGAGATCGTTTCCGAGCCGATGAACAAAACTTTGGATCGGATGAAGAAATACAGTAGCTCTTCAGCGAATGTTGGTGAGTACGAATGAAGTTCTCGATTCTTCATCTCACAGGCTGACTCAGCGAGACCATGCCGACCACACACAGCTGTCTCCCTCTTAAGCCCCCTATTAAGAGTATTATGCGCTTGTGCGACATATCGCGCTTCCTAATGAGGCGCCTATGACGGGAATGACACGGCCGCCGCTGCTGCTGTTGGGGTGCATGATTATTCAATCGTGGCGATAGCTAGGTTGTCGGCTCACTGATGTCTGGAACTTTGATCTTATCAGTTCTCTAACCCCACCAGCAACTTATGGACAAGGACCGTTAAGCCAAGGCCCACACAAAAATCGCCGCACCATTTGCCGCGCGCGACGCTGCCCGCCGCGTGAGCGGCGTGACCTCATTAGCCGACGATTGAATTGACCGTCTCCCGCTGTTGCTGCTGCTGCTGACGTTTCACCTTCGTCATAAATGACCTCCTCTCATTAACCAAATCTGTCAACTTCTTAAGATCATTTGATGACCGCTTAGCTATGCAGATTAACCGGCCAGCGCGAATCACGTGGGAGTACGGAGGGGTGCGGAAGATTGTTGTACGGATCGGATTTGATCCGATGATGCAAAAACGTGGGTCAAGGTCGCCCAGCTGTGACACTTGTTCCACGACTTCCAATTGGCCGCTTACCGGAATTTTCACCCCGGTATGGTAACGGTAGAAGATCGTCGTTCTATCTGAGGGTAAAACCTGCGTAAATTAAATTCATGGTTATCCAGCTAAAGTGATTTCATCTAATTGACTCGAACTTTTCCAAATGTTGCCCAACTTTCGAATAAAAGGAGATCGCAAATCTTCATTTATCTTTTGAAATGCCAATCTTGAAATCCACCGTTGCCCTTTGTTCACTGAAAAAGAGATAATTGTTGTTCACAAAAAAAAACAAAAAAAAAACAAAAGCATGGCGTGCAGCGCGCGTATTCCTCTGAAGATGACGCGTCAGACATTTAAGACTTCCACACCTTGGTAGTTTTACCACTCAGCAGAATTTTCTGCTTGAAAGTCTAAGTGCATGGCGCACTCCAAAAACAGGATACGGATAAGAGGTACGGGTACCGGATGAAATCGCCCCCCCCTCGGTTATTGAAGAGTAGACGTAAAAAATTTGGGCCACGGACTTTTTTCAGACCTGTCCAATCATTGAAGTCCCGTTGTGAGCTTGACAACCAGTTATGGGGCCGGGTGCAGCAAGCCCCAACTCGGGGACTCCCCAAGACTCTGCATCGCTGGACGCTTCCCCCGAATTCTTGACTATTGGAGTCATCCGCCTGAGTAGAGAGCACTTTTGAGGACCCATCCTCTAGTTGAGGCTTGCTGCACCCGGCCCATGGTTTTCGCACAAGTTTCCATCTACAGTAATCCTGAGGTGGGGTGGCGCAATAAGTGGCGTCGTTGGAGCGCATATCGTGACAGAATCAATTGTTGGGTCGACTTCCACCCGGGACCTGGAAATCCTTCACACCGGGGGCGGATAATTTGACGAAAGGTGGAACTAAAAAAGTTATGTAGACGGGATGCGCTTTCAAACGCCAATATGATTCTGAGTGGAGGTCGACAGGCGTGGCGCACTCCATAATGGACAGACGCCAAGCTTTTCATCCTCTATCGCTTGTCCAATTTATCCATTTTACCGAGGGGCCGTCATTATTTGCCCCACAAAGGATAACTTGTTTGCGAGTCGTGCAAATGCCTTGTTGCCAGCAGTTGAGTCTTCAATGACCAGTCCCTTTTCGGGATGCGCCACGCACTATCCTTCTATTCGGATCGGACTGATAATTTGAATGCAATATAGCCCATATAAGACTTGCTGGGATTAGCCGATGAACAAATGAAAGCATTCGTTTCCAGACGAGTCTTTTACTAATTAACCGACTCAGTAAGGATGGTATTGCCGGGGCGGTGTACGTACCAGGATGATCTGCGGACCGTGGACTGGTGAGTGGTGCCACTTGTTGCCACGGCAACCACCTGCCGCGTATGCAATAAGGGGATCTTTGTTTGAAAAGTTATGTAACTGAAGTTTCTGTCGAGTTCAAGTGTTCATTTCAGAAGGAGGTGCAGCGTCGACTTCCCATGGCGACGCGAAAGAGATCGTCGAAGAGAAGTATCATAGATCGTACAAAGAGGTTAGTGAAGTGATTAAGAAGGCTATCTAGTATACCGTAAATACCGGTAAAAGCTTATCCGTCAATAACCCACCCCGACCAGATGGCGCTGATGGTCCCCTGATGGAGATCACCGATCAACTTGAGGCACCTCTTCGACTTGTCCGTAACCCCTACCCGTTCGTTCGTCACGTGATGTCCCATACTAATCCACCGCAGTACTTCCGGAAATACTAAGCGACAAAGCAAACACAAGACGTGCAGAAAAAATACACAAAGCATGTTTTCCAGAAAGGCTCTACAGTACCGAAAGATCCCGCTAGAGCTTAGATCTGGGGCCGTATGCTGAACCCTGTGATCAGGGATGGGGTAAGAACTCTCTTTGAAGTTTTTTTTTCTATTTTCTCAACCAAAACAATAAACTGCGTATTTATAAGGTATGTTTGCGTCAAAAGTAAATTTTTAAAAAAGAATAAACGATTTTTTTAAGAGGCTTTTCTTCCTAATTCCAGTCTAAAAGGTTCAGCATACGGCCCGGAAAACGATGTTTTAGCCCGGATTTCTTAAGAGGATGGTAGGATGCTCTCGCTCTTGAAGACAGTGATCACGATTGCTGAGGAGGTGGTGAGGTTTTGATGAAGCATTGCACTGTCATTCGGTGAAGGGCATAAGCGGCGATGGTAACCACACCCCAGCCCGCTTGAAGATTCTCGTCCACCAATGGCGTCCAGTGACGTCATCAAAATTTCACCACTCTCCGTCGTGACCACTGCCTTTAAGTAACAAGACAGCATAACTCTAAATGATCCATGATATTTCGTCTATGTAGTTCCCTTTTCCTTCTCAAGGTAGTAGTACATTCCTCGAGTTCTAAAACAATTTCGTATCTCGAACAAGTCCCTATAGGCTTGGCAACATCACGGCACCTTGCACGGCTTGCACGACCTAAACTTCATCTGGCTCGAAGCCTTGGAACAAACGGTGTTGAATTTTTTGTCACATTGGCTACCCTCTAGCTTGAACCGCCGAGTGCATTGATGTGTACACGGTTCCGAAGTTTCACCACTGAACTATCCACTTTCAGAGGCATCTCTTCTCCGGAACTGGATCTAGAGCCTCCCGTAGTTCGTGCTAGAGCAGTACCAGCTATTTCCGCTGCTGCTGCCATGTGCGAGTACGTTTATGTGTGTGCGGTGAATTCGGTGCTACAAATTTTAGATCAGTTCTTTTGATTTTTTTGCTAATTTTTACATTTCTGATTCAGAGTGTTCTCCATACTGCCATATTCTCACACATTCATTGTTGAGTTTTATGTTCCTTTCATTCATCCTGCCTTCGTTTTTTGTCTTCACGTTCATCACTGTCCATTGTCCACTTTCCCATTCAGAGACGATATAAAAAATAATGATTTTCTGAGCTGGAGAATGTTTGTTAGGAAAGCTATATATATTGCTATATATGTGTGTGTATTTGTTTTGTATTTCCTCATCACGGATCACATAGAAAATGTCACTCGATGACGTCATTTGCTCAGTTCGTACATAATAAAACGTCTTTTATCACAATCTGCTCCTGTTTCAAGTGACAGATTCCTCTGTGCCAAACAGGTTCGGATGGTAGGATTAGATGAGTTCAGCCTAACGTTCCGACAAATTCGTCGTTGTCAAAGACCTGACAGCGTTTTGAAACTTCAAGTGCTACCTATTCGCTCTACACGATTACACATTCAGCCAAGACTTAAAGCAACAGTCCAGGCAGGGTTTCAACTACTTGGTCATTAGGCGGTCAAAACATGCCCCAGCCCAACTAAAGTTTATAGGAAATGTCTTTAAGTTCAAAACCTACCTCTAAAATGCGCTGGAAGGGGTCGAAGTCCTCTTGGAGGGGGCGGATCACCCATACCGAGGCGGATCGCCCAACATACGCTGTGCAGAGTCCGTGCTTGACTAGCGGTCGTTGCGGGACCGCCGCGCTGTATGAGGTCGATTCCATAAGAACGCAATTGAAGCGCTTCAATTTCGATTGCTGGCAAATAGTTATGTATTTGCAAGCATGCATGGCTATTTGCCAGCAGTGCAATTGGAGCGCATGTACTACGGGCAGGTTCGGACAACTCGTCCAACACACGTCTCCCTAAACGGCAGGGGGAGTCCCTGTCTAAGCCCCTGCCCGACGTTTTTTTCTACTTTTTCTTTCTCCATTGACCAACTTCTCACCTGCAACGTCATTATAGGTGGTCCTTACCCGCGAATTCGTTCCTGGATTGTTGCTTTAACCAAAGAGTGGAAATTCGAGGAATGGGTCACTCACCACAACTCCACCAGTAGCGATTCCACTGTCCAGCCTAGGTCAGTGACAATCAAGAACAATGCCCACGTTTCAAGAAAGGCGGACATGGAGTTTGTTGCAGGACAAACCGCCAAGTCTTTGCTTTCCAAAAGTATGTTAAAGCAAAGCACTCTGCCGCAATCGGGCCATGAGCTCTTACTTACCCTGTGCTTTTCGAGCAGGATAACGACCTATTGCACCGCCGAAACATGCTGCACCTTAAAGGCACATCACGCGATCATTTTGGTAGAGAAAATCTTTCCCGTGAATGCAATGGTTGGGTCGCATACTCTCGATGAATTGGTCAGTTTCACACCTTTTACCGCTCTCGCTCTGTCCCCCCCCCTAAGAGGAGGGGTGGAGTGGGGGGGGGGCCGCTCATATGTCGTATGGGATATTGAAAAGTGAGTGAGCCACTTACAGTTGAGTTTCAGGGGAGGGAAAGGGATTCTGGAGGACGTGCGCAACCTTTGTTCTCCTTGCGTCTCTTTACTCTCCTGGGCTTGGTCTTCGTGTCACTTACCAGCGGTTTTAAAAGCCCTGTCTAAATGATTACCCCTAAGGCCATAAACACCGCTAGGGGCTCACGGCTTCAATCGTCGTACTCCTATTGAATCCGCAACGTCCATCGTGATTCTCATCTGACTGCATGAATCCCCAGCACCTAGAACAAGAAGGCTCGTATTTCGACATTTTTGGAAAGATTTTTTCTCAGTTTTTTGCAATTGGCGGTCCATTAGGCGTAATAACTTCGTTGCTCCCAAATCACCACCTCGCTTTCATTTGTGGGATGTGTTTTTTAAGTAACATCGGCTCTCACCGGTACGGGTACCTTAGCCTCACCACTTGTGCTTTTCACTGAACTTTTCACCTTGCACTTGTTGTTCCTTCGTTCCTACCTGGCAGCTAGTTGTCAAACCTGGATCGGGATATGCATGGCTTAGCGCGAAATTGATTCAGCGACTAACGCAAATGCAGGGCACCTCTGCCATTGTGATACATCCATTCAGCGCCTAGCGCCACACTTTTCTGCAACTCCCCAGGGAATTGATAAGGAGAGGTTGCTGCTGGCTAAAGTTTGAAATTTTCAACGAACCTAAAACAAACACGATGACGAGAACGGTAGAATCAGCAATACTGTCTTATCAGGATGTTATCGGATAGTGTTGATGTTTTTGTCGAGGGTTTGTTTCCTAACGGAGTAGTTTCCGCAATATTTGCGAATGAATCATTGCATCCGACTGGGTTTTTGCATAAGTTGCATTTATAAATACTACTTTCGCAAAAAAGACAAACCTACTGCGTTCACACTTAAAGGCAGTGTGCATACCATCCAGTGGTTGGGAGGCGGAGTGGTTTTGATGACGTGGATGAGCGTCATTGGTGGAAAAGTTGTGAGTAGGGAGGTGATCCCAATCCATTCTCCAGCGCAGTGAGCGATTTGGCCCGCCAAGACGTTCTGTGACGTCATATAAATCGCTCCGCCCACTTGTCATCGAGTCCCACTGCCTTAAAAGTCGTGAGACCGCAAAGTATTTTTTTCTAAGCTAATGTGCACTCCACAGTGCCAGAAATCATGGTTATCATATATCGTATCAAAATACCATCACACAAAACTATTGTATAAATTTTTAGATCGTAGAAAAATATTTATTGTAAACAAAATGGAAACCCTTGATTTACAATATAAAGTACAACAAACCCTTGTTTCAAGGAAGGAGACATTAAAAATAATAAGATTCGTGTATGACGGAAAGGGCACACAGTTGCACGTACATACATATTTGTGCACGAAACTTCCGCGGTCAATTACGTCTTCTCTCAACAACGGAAGTAACTGCAGGGGAAATGCCGCCCGATCTCTACTTCCTTTTGCTTCAAGAAGTGCAATGGATTTAAAAAGGGCGTTCCTTATATGAACTTTTCCATGGGATTTCCCGAGACTATGAAATCCGATCGATTGCAAAATTCTCCACATCAGTTTAGTGGAGCGGCTCAAGGAAGAATCGTCAGCGGTTCTTCGGACGAATAGTTTCGAGGATCGACCTATTCAAACCCATTACTAGCTGTTCATAGACGTTTTTGGCCAACATTTCATGAGGCTAGTTTACGAAGTCTCCTCTGACATCACTTTCAGCCCTTAATTTTTTATAGAGGGAATCGCACCTTACAGTTTGACCGACAGCTTTCATGAAAGCGTTCTTCTAGGTACCACACATGCCCTGATTTTCAGGCCACAAGCGAAGAAAGAAACGATGCTGAGAATGAAAAACAGGCACAGGAACGCTTTCCATGAAAACTAGGGGTCATGTCGTGGAAACTCTGGAAAGTAGCTCCAATTTTGTCCAGAGGCTTCACAAGTCAAATTTTTGCTGACCGCAAAATATTCAAAGCACCTACTAATAACTCTTGTGGAGCTAAAACCATATGGGTATATCTGGGTGGCTCCTGTGTGGGAAAGTACACGCATTCCCTCCCTTCGAAGACTTTGAGCCTTAATTTTGAAGAGTTGAAGCGCTTTGGTATCATTTGATACTGTTTTGGTGATCGTTCGAGCCTTCACAGGCAAATGGGCGTTCAGCAGGTCAACGATCATTCGGATAATTATGAGTAAGAGCTGGAGATTAAGCAAGCCTTGTTGGCTAGATCCGGGAAGCTCCGCCTGCTTGACCTACGGTAGATAAAACGGGCGCTCGGGGTCCGCCCATAGCTGTGCGGCGGTGGGGCAGCCGGTGGCGCGCGATGTGCTGCTCTCTGGCGGTTTGTCTTCTACTGCTCATACTGCCGCCAAGTAGCCCGGCCCCAATGGTCACCGAGAACTTCGACGAGATTGTGGTTCGTGGTGACAGTACTATTCTTCTCTTCTTGATGAAACTGCCTCTTAAATTGTCTCGTATAAAGACCTTTTGAATGGCCTTCTCCACCTCATGGCTTCTCCCTGTTAAGGTTCCTCCTATGCTCAGAAAACCAGCCCCCATAAAGTATTTTAGTTACAGTATTTCCCGAGTGGAAATGTAGCGGAGACCCGGAACGAAATGCAGAAATCAGGGCGCTGAATCTATTGAGTGGCTGTGTCGTCGTCAGGTTTCGTGACCATGATCGACTACCTGGTTGATTTTGGAGGTTCTACTTTCACTTACCAACGTCGATCGAGTCCATTCGATTCCGCCACGACCATCATCGTGGTCGATCCGCTGTTTATCGTTTGACGTATTGACCTGTTCAGATCTTGACTGTTTACAGTCGACTCATTGCCTTCTACGACAAATTGTAACCCGAAACATCAGAAATCAATCACCGTTTTCCCCCGATGGCATCAATAGCCGGCCATTTGTGGCTGGTTACTCGATCCCAACTCCGAGCACGTCTTCTCGTTCATCTCTTCACCTTTCATTCTCACGCACTTCGCGTTTCATCGCCATAATGTGGACAGAAAAACTGCTCTCTTTTGTCAAGTGCGTGATTCTCAGATTTCTCCCATCATTCACATGATCCAATTTATCTACACACACACTCACGTCGTTGTGTCTCTCCGGAAATCGAGGCCATTCACAGCTGTCTCCAGCTGATTACCTCGTCCTCTGTGACGTTCTCGTCGGATTATCCTTGGTCATTCACGTGAACTGAGAAGCTTTTTGATCACCACGTAGTTCTTTTTCTTCACAGAACAACATAAAAGCGATGAAGTTTACAGTAGTTGAGTGATCGACTTTTCATTACACTGAGACACTCCACAACACTGGTCGAGAGAAAGACAGAGAGAGAGACATCGTCATGGCCTGCATTGATGAAAAGAGACGATTTGTTCGATACACGTTTCTTTGGGTCTAGTTATCTGCCGTGAATTTATCTTCTAGTCCATTTTCTCGCCACAATTTTGAACCATCAAGTGACGTCTTCATCGAGCTAACCGCGATCATCACAAAATCCTTCCATTAATCAGTCTTTTGGTTACGGTAGCCGTCTGGGGTAATGATTTTTGCATGTAACCATAATCTGTTATTACCTAAATGTGCTAAAATTGACTTGCTCTTTTCCGCGACTGAAGAGCGCCAGCTTATTTGTTTCTGCACAAAGCAATCCGCTCTGGCGGGCTCTGCCATCGAAGATGCTCTTCCGCAAGATGCGACAGTCTGCTCATCTTCGAACCCTACAGAATTCCTTTAGCATCGTTTGAGAAGATCATCCAGTAATCGAGAGTGTGACGTTGCCGAAAACGCCAATTCTTTCCAGACAGACCTGTAGCGGAATGAGAATCCATTTCGCCTTCTGTAAAATGGACGCTATCACAACATACGGGGGCATCCGCTAGGACTAAGCCTAGCAGGAGGCGAAATTTCGGGAGAACAAAAATGGCCGACTCACCTCTGGAGTCTCTTCTCCCTCCCCCTCGCCTAAGGCTTAGTCTCGTTTCAACACAAAAGGGACATGTTTCACGAGATTTAAATGCATTGCCACTTCAACACCCCCTATCTTGCGATAGCGCCGTACCATGTATTTCTTACAATCTTGAACCATCAAGTGATGTCTTCATCGTGCTTACCCGATCATCAGAAAATCCTTCCATTGGTCCGGGGGCGTGGACCAACAAAGAAGTAGTTAGAAGCAGAACGCTCTTTTTACGGATACCGCGCCCCGCACAAAATGATTTGGCATATCAACTAATCCCCCTATCACCTTAATACTAAAAATGGACATTGCTCTTTTCGCGACGCAAGGCGTCAGCTTATTTATATCTGCTAACCAAAGACAATCACTCTCCTGCGCGCTCTCCCATCCCAACATCTCTCTGCAAGATGCGACACCCCGTCCCATACTGGCTCGATCCCTAACCCCTTAGATCACCCACAGTAATCGAAGTGTACTTCACTTGCAACATACACGTCCAACTCCCGGTTCTTCCCCAAAACAGACCCGTAGCCGGAATGAAAAATCCATTTTGCTTTGATAAACAGGTATGCTACCCTACCAATATACCGGTGGGCATCCTCTAGACAAGCCTAGCAGGAGGCGAAATTTCGGAGAGAACAAAAATGGCCGACTCACTCTGGAGTCTCTTCTCCCCCCCACCCCAAAGGGTAGTCTCGTTTTGAACAGGAGGGAAATTTGAATCCATTGCCACTTCAACGCCCCCTTATCTTGCGATAGCGCCGTACCAATGTATTTTCTCGCCACAATCTTGAACCATCAAGTGACGTCTTCATCGTGCTTACCCGATCATCAGAAAATCCTTCCATTAGTCAGCCTTTTGGTTACGGTAGCCGCCCGGAAAAAATGATTTTGGCATGTATCAATAATCCGCTATCAATTTAATGACGCTGAAATTGACTTGCTCTTTTCCGCGACTGAAGAGCGCCAGCTTACTTGTAGATGCACAAAGAAAGCCGCTTTGATGGAATTCGTCTTCGAAGATGCTTATCTCTGCAGGACGCAATAGTGCTGCTTATCTTCAAACCCTACAGTAATACGTTTAGCACCGTTTGAGAAGATCATCCGGTTATTGAGAGTGTGACTTGACGTTGCCAAAAACACCGGTTCTTTCCAGACAGGCCCGTAACGGAATGAGAATCCATTTCGCCTTTGTAACATACAAAAAACTCTCAAAGGTTTTTGCTCTCAGAAGAGCTACCAGTTGCCGGTATAAACAGAACCGATCACTTATGACGGGGTGTTTTTCAGCAATACCTGCATCGTTTCGGTTATCTGAACAGCCCGGCGCCCAGCTTACACGAATTTCGCGCTGGACTTCGATTGTTCCAGGTAGGATGGAAAGTCTTATCTGAAGGTCAAGGAGCAATAAGCACAAACATTTCACTTACAGGAAGTGGTAGGCGTGGAGCCGACTGGTGAACTGACGCCCGAGACCGTGGAAGCCACCCAAAGGAAACGTTGCGCTCAGAAGGACACAAGGAAGGATACGGGCAGATCGAAACGATTTGGTTAGTTTGTAGTACTGCGTAGTCCTGCGCTGAAGAACTCTGTGCTTTCTAGCTCTTTCCGGCACATCAAAATGGGACAAGAAACACTTTACTGGCCTGCACGAGCTGTCCCTCAAGTGGTTCGTCTCCGAATACACCAACGACATCCCAAAGGCGATTATTCGGTGAGATCATTTGATGAGGGCATTATTCGCATAATCCTGTCTAAATCGTGCCGATTCTAGCTCGACAATCCAGAAGGCTTTCCAGCTTTGGGCCAAGCAGGCTAATGAGCGAAACCTGCCTAAGGTTTGTGCTTTGCTGATAAACGGATCACATTTGAACGGCCTCAGCGATTTGTGATCGCCCAAGGAATGGCATGGCCTTCTCAGGGCTGGTCAGTTGACTGCTTTACGTCGGCAGATCGGTCAAAGACCGTAAACCGTCATCGGTGATGCAAACGGGCAGCAATCGTAAACAAATTGTTTACATTTTAAGCCCCCTAATCAAGTGTTTGCTCGGGCATGTTTGAATCACATCCGCTGGCTAACCGATTATCGCGGAAGTGAACGTCATAAGTGTTCCGCGTTTTCCAGGTGACTTTCCACTTTGAAGAGGCCGCATCACAAGACGAAGCTGACATCAACATTCTGTGGGCCGAAGGAGCTCACGGGGATCAGTACGAGGTGGGTTGGGCTCATCCCGGCCGATTTACTCCAGCCAGCTCAATTCAGGGTCTATTTCAGTTTGATGGCGCTTCGGCAAAGAAAAACATTCTGGCGCATACGTTCTTTCCCGGTCATTCGGAACCGCTCAACGGTGACATCCACTTCGACGACGCCGAGACCTGGGAGACTGACCTGTCGGCGGCCACCAACCAGTCAGTGTCTACACTTATTGGCTTTCTTGGGATAAGGCTGAACGCCTGGTGCCACCCAACCTCGTTTGACTCCTGTCAACAATCGTTCTTCTACCTTGAAATACTAAAATAATGGGAAAACACAAGGGTAACTCTAGAAGGGTCAACCATGGT